CTTTAAAACTTTAAAACTTCAAAGCTTATTATTGTATTTACTGCTGCTATTTTGCCAGTAATGTTAAAAATTAGATTCCCCTACATAACATCCCAAGTGCCACCAGGGGTCCTCACTCCATAGCTTGAGAACCACTTCCCTGGTGCTTGAGGTAACTGTGAGAGTACAACTTTATTGTTTAATGTAAATCCAATTCAGTCAGAAAACATGTGACAGGAGTAGCTTTAAGACCAGCGCCCCCTGCTGTCAATTCAAAATGCTCTAATTTGCACTTTGTTTTCTTCTCTGCCTACAGACTGCTCCAGATGGTTGGAAGAACTCAGTGCGTCACAACCTCTCGCTGAACAAATGCTTCGAGAAGGTGGAGAACAAAAATGGGAACTCCTCTCGTAAGGGCTGTCTGTGGGCCCTGAACCCAGCCAAGGTGGGAAAGATGCAGGAGGAGCTGCACAAGTGGCGGCGCAAGGACCCCATCACTGTTCGCAGGAGCATGGCCAGGCCAGGTCAGGACCTTTGAAGGACTGTGTCTTACATTCAGAAGCAGGTTCTATGTGTTTAATATGAGCTGCTCTGCCCAGGGACATTTACTAATGAAGGCTGGGTGGAAGAACTGGAGGATGTCAGGTTATGTTTTCACTACTAGTGTTGTTGTTGACGACAATTTTTTAAGTAAATTGAGTAATAATAATTAGTGATTACCTTATTTTCTGGACTATAAGTCGCACGTTTTTCATCCTATGACTGGGTTTGCGACTAATACTTAGGTGCAACTTTTATATTAAAATATATAAATTCACATGTTTTTTTTACACTGACAGCCACTAGAGGGCACTATAGGCTAGTGTACCAGAATCTGCTACTTCTGTACCACTGAAAATTTAAATGGTCGTTATTCTTACACAGACTGCCACTAGAGGGCACCGGTGTGACTTATACACTGGAGCGACTTATGGTCCGAACTATATGGTAATGTGAGCAAGAGTTAACTGAGTACATATCTAATACTGATACTTTGTTCATTCCACAAACATCAAATATGATCTTCAAGGAAGGCAAAGCTAAGAAGCTAAAGGGCCACATGTGGGCCAGGAGCCACAGGTTGGGGGCTCCTGATAATAATTTTTGTGTAGATTCTCATTCACTCGTGTCAAAGTTCATCTAATGTTGCTCCTTCTTTACTGCTCAATGCTAAAACTGACCAATTTATTTTCGTCTGGATGAAGTCAGCAAACGAAATTGTGAGGTCAAAGATCATGGCAATAGTTTGAATTTTTGAACATTAAAAAATTGTTTGATATTTTTTGGGTGTTGACCAAATCCCGTTACAGGTGCAAACAAACATATCAATAATGAACAAAAAGTTAAAATTAAGTAAATGCTTAACAAAAAATATTTGAGATTAAAAAAATATATATATATTAAAAATATTCAAAGGTAAAACAATGTCTTTAGTGTGAGCTGACTCAAATGTTTTTTTCATACAGAGGACCTTGATCATCTTGTGGGACCCAGACACGACAAGGTCAGGTCTTTGCCTCCGTACACCAACCCATCCCTCGTCTCCAGAATGACCCTGTGTCACAGCACCACGCCCTCACCCTGCGGCCCAGCCCTGCTCCGACCACATCAACAGCCCATTCCGTGTTCAGGTTATCTGCAGCTGCTGCCTCAGCCGCCCTGCCACATCCCCCCTGCCACGGCCCACCCTAACGCCACATTTGCGCTGCGCCCCCCCTGTGGGCTGCCACCCACAGCTGGTGTACCGTCAACTGCTGGACATCTCAACTCACCCACAGCTGGGAAGATGCCCCCAGGTTATGATTCTGTTCTGCAGACGGAGTGCGGCATCAGAAACATGCAGGACCTGCTGCTGGAGGGGGACGTGACATATGACCTGGATGGATTTACCCCTAGTCTGACTGACCTGCAGCTGCAAGGTATGACAGCGGTGAAGAAAAGTGAACGGTCAGATGATTGGTTTCCCTTTTTTGTGTTGATATTGTTGTGGAGTTTAAGGATAAGTGAGTCCTGCCTTGGAACAGGCCTTTTAAAATTACAAGTTATGAATATGTGCTAAAGATTCCAGCTTTTGCTTTTAACATAATTATTCAAGTTGCAGTGATAATAGGAGGCAGAGACAGGAAGGAAAGAAACAAAGATACATATGAAATACATTTTTTTGCATTAATCAGTGAATTAACTAGAAGGAATTGTGCTCTAGAGATATTGATGTGAACAGTGGAATTCTCCATTTGCATTATTCAAACAATCCAATACAATATCTCAGCGGCTAACCCTCATTACCCTGTGGCAATCCCAGTTTGTAATCATGTAGTCTTTTAATAAAACCCTCAGTTATTCTGACAAAAATGTCCACTTACAATGGTTTGATGTCACTAGATCTATCTAAAAAAAAGAAAGAAAAAAGAAAAAAGGTTTTTTTTTATAAATTGAAACTCTTTTGGTACTCTGCCCTCAAAATACATATATATAAATGATTTATATATGTATAAAAATCAAACTGTGCACAGGGGAAGCTACGGTATATCTCATAGTTTAAAAATCAAAACAAACAAATAATAGCAGTGTGTTATTCCAACCACATTTTTCCTCATATCAAATTATCATATTTGTCCACTTCATTTTAATCCCGCCTCTGTTCCCAGGTAACATATGGGAGGAGATGAGGGAGGACGTCCTGGTGTCTGATCCACAAGTTTCCACTACAACCCTGTGCGGCTCCTCCGTCCTGCCGGACCCCCGCTCCCATAACAGCAGCAACCTGGTGGTGCGTCAGACGTCAGAAGAAACCACCGTGAGTGCATGTAAAACAGAGAAAGAGGACGAGGACGCCGTCTGTGGACAAAATTTAGCAGAGGACGGCTGTGTGAATGGACTGCATCCGGTGGCCTACTCAGGGGTGGAGAACATAGCTGGTTATCTGACCTCTTGCACCACTTTTATCTCTTTAATGTAAAACCCACGAACGTGACGTAGCAGCAGGTGAATGCAGTATGAATACAAGCGTATTGTGTCAAAGTATTAGTGTGGTGGCTTATTTAACCACAGGCAGCCTACGCTGCTCTCATCATCTAAATAACATTATTAACAATTTACACCTCCACTACAGCGGTTTAACAACGTACCCAGTGGCCAATTCATTAAGGCTGGTATTTCATTGCGTTACATTCACAGATGTTTGCAATAACAAGCAGCTGTGCTTAAGAATTTTGACCTTTTTCTCTTTTACACGTTGTGATTTTTATTTATTTTAAGTTCCTTTTAGCTGTAACGTTCTCCATTTTTTTAAGGTTGTCAATACAATGTCGGCATTATACACATGTATGTATGCAATCCCTTTCCCAATGATTTAAAATATATGATTGTTGACCATAGATTTCCACGATTTTGTGTTGTTCATGTTTTTATTTTGGCAAACATAAACCCAGAGAACAAACCGAGAACTGTTCCATGTGTTGTTTTACCTTCATCTTGTAACGTGAGATGAGATATAATACTCATTTGTGAAGTGATGTCACTGCTGTGTCGGCGTCATTGGTGGCATCAGTGCAGTAAGAGCATTCTTCCAGGAAATGGCAGCAGAGACAGCTTAAGCCTTGACGTTTTTGAAGCGAAAGAAATAAAAGAAAAAGGCAGGAAAATTACGAACGCATTGTTCGAGTTTACAGATTTAGTTGTGTATTTTGTTAAATATGAAACATAATATCGTGGATGGCAATCGATATCGTCACAAAGACTTCTTTTTTCTCTTTATTGTTGTTTGTTTTGTTCTTTCTATTTCTTTCTTTCTTTCTTGTTTAAAATGTTCAAAAAGGAGTGCAAATTATGATGCTATAAATGTCTTAAAATGTTTAAATTGTTTCATGGCTTACTAGTTGTTGCAGAATCTTTGCAGTTTCCTGTAGCTCTCTCTCTCTCTCAGCAAGCAAAGAAAAACATTCAGCAGATCTACTCAGCTAATCTAAGGTTAATTTATCTACTTACATGGCAGCACAAAGACAAACCACTTTGTGGTCTGTGATAGTATAAAGTACTCAGGTTTCTAATGAGATATTAAATAAGAACTCTGCCAATATCTTCACAATATTCAATGGTTTGTTAGTATCTTTTGCTGTCCTGCACTTGGAAACATTGTTGTTTTTTTTAAGTGACACGTGATTGGTGCAGGACCCTTATCCAGGAATCGTCTCATTTTCAGTGTAGCGCTAACAGTCCTGTTCTACAGCAGTACTCCATGTCAGGTATTTCATCTGTCTCTGTCTCTTTAGGACTACCTTCCCATCCCTGATGTGTCCACTCAGTATATAACTGTGTCTGTCTTTGTCTAGTTCAGTCTGTGTGTTGCTCCCTGTCTGTCTGCTCCATGACTAAAACAAGACAACAATTTTGAAAAAAATCCCACATTTATTGCAGTGATGATATTCCAGCTTTTTAAATCTTTACATCCTTTTTTTTCTTCTTTTTTTAGAATTTCACACCATAATAAATTATACATAGTGCTCAGTACTACAGAGAACATACTGAATATCAAAGTTGGTGTCTGATATTTTGGTTAAATAGATCATTTTTTCTGACATTTCAAAATGGCTATTAATTTTCAAAAATACTCCCGATGTAGTAGTACTATGCACATGAAAACAAACAAATGACATATCCACGTGGACGGAGCGTAACATTCTGATGTGCGCCACTACAAAAATCCGAGGATCCTAAAAAGGTAGTAATGCAATGACATTTTTGAAACAAACTATATATAAATACACATCCAAATGGATTAGTTCATAAACTACTTTGGTAGCCTAAAAATTCTGTTTTATTTTCTGATGATCTGAGCCTTGAAGTCCACAGTATGTACAGACACTACATGTGTTTACTGCCCACAC